TTACTGAAGCCCGGTGGGCACAGATTCAGCAAGAAAGGATTATAACTTGAGTACTTAGGGATATCTTTATTATAATTCTGGACTTTTTAAACTCTGTATTCCCATGCTAGTCTTTTTTTAAAACTATTTCAATTCTGCAACAGCACATAAAGTATCTGTACCTAGGTATCCTGTACCTAAGATGGTGCCGAGAAATGACATTACAAACTTTTCACTGCACTCTTTCGAGTGCACGTGGCAATAAAGTCTATTCTATTCTTTTGGACTACTCCTCGTTTTAACATTGATTTCAGTCAAATATAAGGAATGCTTCATTGTCACTGTCATGGGAACTCTGTGTGAACACAATCCAGTTTTCACAAAGGTCTTCTTTAACTTCAGTGGGGGAAAGGGACTTTTTAATCTTTTCCATAACTGTGCTTCAGGGTCCTAATCCTTTGCCTGTGCCTTGCGGCTCCTGGGTGACATTACACACTTGTGTTGTCTCACTACACAGCGTTGGAACAGTTAGGGAAACACCGGCAGCTACATTCTCAAGTTTACCTGTCTTGTCTTGCAAAATAACTGTCCCAGCTGCTGTCTGTTCTATCTGACATGGTTTAATTTTTGTCACTGGATAATTCTGTTCAAAGAGAATTACTTGTCTAAAACTCCCACTTTCCCCATTTTAGAGCACAAATTCACGCCAAATAGCATTTAGGATGAGGAAATCTTATCATCCAGAATTGAAAATTGACGTAAATACTCCAATAATATTTGGAAGTTTACTCTGGCCAGAAAATGAAATTACAAACACAATTATTTAATCACAAAGGTTTTGAAATTCACCATTTACCTTGGACTCTTTCCTCAAACTAATTACAACAGAGTGTGCAGCATTTCAAGGAAACATGTTATTCCATTTCACATATTCCCCTACCTGCAATTAGTCTCATATGACTGATTTTCACTATGAGTTACAGACCGGAATCAGGAGTGCGATACAGACTGAATCTAATTGAGGGGTCTGAGCTAATTATATATAGAATAACTGATACCTGAGAGTGAGTTGCAGACTGGAAGCTAATCAAAGCCACACTCGATCGAATGCAGCCTTGATATCAAGGGCTATCACTCTCAACTCACCTCTAGAATTCAGCTCTTTAGTTCATTTTGTTTGAACCAAGACTGGAAAGAGGTCAGTAGCTGAGTGGCCCTGCAGAACCCAAACTGGGCGTCACTGAGCAAGTGCTACTCGATAGCACTGGTGATGACACCTTCCATCACTTTACTAATGCTCAACAGTATACTGGTAGGGAAATTAATGGCTGGGTTAGATTTGTCCTGCTATTTGTGCACAGGACATATTCTGGCAATTTTCCAGAAAGTTGGGTAGATGGCAATGTTGTAACTGTATTGGAAGAGCTGAGCATATGGGAAAACTGATTGCATTTCTTGTCATACTCAGAGCAGGTGAATGGCCTCTCCTTAGTGTAAACTCACTGATGTGTCAGCAGGTGAATAGACTGAGTGAATCCTTTTTCACACTCTTGCCAGTATGAATTTGATGTATCAGCAGGCTGTGGGACTATGTGAAAACCTTCCCATGCTCTGAGCAGGTAAACAATTTCCCTCCAGTGTGAACTCACTGGTGTCCTAGCAGGTTTGATATATGAACAAATCCCTTCCCTCACACAGGACAGATAAACAGCCTCTCATCACTGTGAACTTGTTGCTGTGCACTAAGGTTGACTGGCTGCCCAAAACTCTTTCCACAAGAACAGCTGCTAAACAGTTTCTTTTCAGCAGGTGTTCCGAGAGGCTGGATGACATTGTGAATTCCTTCCCACATGTGCAACAGGTAAACAGCCTCTCTCCAGTGTGAGTGCATTGATGAATTTCCAGCTGGATGAGTAATTAAATCTATTCACCCAGTCTCCACACTTCCATGTTTTCTTCATTGTGTTGGTGTCCTCGTGCCTGTCTAGGATGATTATCAATGTAAACATCATCCACACACAGACTTATGGATGAGATAACAAGGTGTAGAGCTGGTTGAACACAGCAGGCCAAGCAGCATCATAGGAGCAGGAAGGCTGACGTTTCCGGCCTAGAATGAAGGGTCTAGGCCCAAAACGTCAGCCTTCCTGCTCTTATGATGCTGCTTGGCCTGCTGTGTT